CCACCAATTGTAGCCCTTGGCACCCCTTAGAGTAAAGGCTAGCCAGCCCCACTGTACAATCAGGTTGTCTCCCCAAAATTCACCCATAAGTTGATGATTTGGAACTTTTAATACATATTTTATAAGTTTTTTTAAAAAGCCTATAAATGCTGATTAATTCCTAGGCCAATCTATAGAAGCCTATTTAACTTATAGTATCTCTAAAATTTTTACATCATTTTTCAGTCACATTTGCATTCATAACTGTCTCTATTAAAAAATGCTTTCAGAGCTCCAATTTAAATTTCCTACTTCATCACTGCAGTGAATAATACATATTCTTATACCCCAGGTATTTGTTCCCCTGTATTATCAGTCCAAAAAAGAGAATATAGCCCTTGCCAAACTCAACTGTCTGCAGGAACAGGGGAGAATGGGCCTGGTATAAAACAGGTGCGCACTCCATATATTGCTAATTAGTAGAACACCTGCCAAACTGACCTGCTTTTAAAATACAGTGCAGCCCTAACAAAATGACCAAAGGCAGGAAAGTTTGCAATCCCTTTCTGGAGTCATCCCCTACGTTCTCATTTGGGGAGAAGGGGCGGGGGGGGCAGAAAAAGGATAATTTACGCAACAAGCTTTGGGACCCAAGATTCAACTCTTCCACTACTCCCTGACTTGTTCATGTTGTTTATAACCTAGAAAGTGTTCATGGATTGTGGAGAATCCACCTAAGACCTCAAGTTCTCAGGTTAAGCAGTAGTGTGTATGAATCCTAAGTCTACGTTGTATCAGTAGTTCTCTGTACCTCCCTTCTCTATGTTAGACGATTTGCTGTGAGGATAAAGTGATATTGTGTATGAAAGCTCCTAGAGTAATACTTTACTCATAGTAGGCATCACTAAATAAGTATGAATAAAATTCCCCTTGCCCCTCTGAGGAGACCTATAATTTTGACATGAGTCAACAGGCACCCGTGTCACATATGCAGCTCAGAAACCCACTATACCAGCCTCACAATGACAAAACGAGACTGGCCGTGTTATAAAATGAGGCAGGAACAGCACTGAGGCCATTAGTTTAGCTGCTTTAGTTCTGGTTTGAACACTCCCCATTCCCAGCTCCCAAACTCTCATCCCACACACCTATGTCCATGACATACAAATGAAAATTTCTTCTAGAGGGTTCATACTTTCATAGAATCAAAGGGAAATGAAAAAAAAGTGCAACCCTTCAGTATGTTACATATAATAGAAGAAAAATCAACCTATTTTTTGAAACACATGCATGTATCTCATTTCTCACCGTCTAATATACAGAATAAGCTACATTACTTTCTATTTCCAGAACGTTAAAGAGTTATAGAGCTATAAACTCTAATCTAAAATGTTAAATATTTTAAACATACAAGTTTGATATCAAGTACCAGATAGACAAATGGTCTAACTTAAGTAGAAATATATTCAAATGCAGAATAGTACATAATTGTTAGATATTATCAATTTTGCATGTAACTAACTTGTCATTTTAAACCACAAGTAATCAAGTAGTAATTAAGATGGAGTCTGTTGCAATAGGGTGGTATACAGCAATGCACTTACCAAAAAACGCAACATTTATCAATGTCAATGCTGTCAAAAATAATCACATAGGACAACACAGGGAAAATGAACAAATTAAAGAGAACCTCATTTCATTCTCATGTTAATTTTTTTTAATTTAAGACTGGTCATATAAGTGAAGAAACACAATTATAGTAGAAAGAAGGCTCTCTGAAAACGTGTAATGATAAATGTTGTCATTGTTTTCATCAGCTAAGAAGGAAATTGTTTTTTCAACTAAACACATGTTTTCATAAATTAGGGAGGGCAAATTTGCCTAAAAACATTCCTCTTAATTAATATACAAGACAGTCTGCTTTCTGGCATTAGAAAGAAATGCACTATTCTGATTCATCTAATATTCAAGTTAATAGAGAATTTGCATTCAAATAATTAGAATAAAACAATGCCTTAATTGGGCTGAAAAGAATTTAATATCTGATGATTTACAGTCTTTCAGTGGTTCAGAGATTATCGTGAATACTAATTATTACTGCACTAAGGCTATTTGGAACAATATTTAATAGTATGATTAACATAAAATGCTCAAAAATCTTTCTTTCTGTTTATGCTTCAATGCTAAATTAAAAGAACTCTCGGCAAAACTATGATGATTGCAGTTTCTGTCAATACAGAACATGTGCTATATATATTTTTATGTGATCTAGACCTTTTTAAGAAACTTTCATTTTTAGTATGCTAAAGTAAACAATCCGTGGGGCAGCAGATTCAAGATGTCAACAAAAAGGTCCCTGATATCAAAAAGGGAGTGAAACAGAACCCATCACCTGACTCTTTCCCCACTGGAAAGGAATGAAGGCCTCTGGAGACAGACTCCAAGGTACCACCACCTATGACCCAGCAGGTTATACTTGAATATTAACTGAGCAGTCTCAGTGACCTTGGACAACCTTCTAGGCATCAAAAATGTTTGGGACAAATCTGAAGATATGAGGCCTGTAAAACTCTAACCATACTTTATTATATAAATGAGGCTTCAATGACTTACCACAGATATGTATAGATACATATACTTATATATATGCATGGAATATTTCTGGAAGGATACAGCTATGGGGGTGGACTATGTAAGTAGAAGTGTGGAGTGGCTAAGAATTTTTCATACTCTTTTGCAACATTTGATTTTTTATTATTTTTTTAATAAAGCCTAACTTTAAATAATAATAATTCACTTCATTTTCTAGTATCTTTAATTTTAAAGACTATTCAGTAAATTCTTATTTTACATTAAATAGGGAAAAGATCAAATTGTTGTCTCCTTCTATTCATGTCCAGAAAAAGAAACTTAAAAATAAAGGGGGCACCATTACCCAGCAAAGACCCTTTTAAGAATATAAGTCAGCACATGGTATAATTTAGACACTGCAAATTAGATTGCATAAATTTGTATATTTCTTACACTCCATTCCTTTTATTTGTTACAACACTATAGAGCCCACTGCTTTTATGATGGTATATTTTAAAGTATCTTGTGATACTTGTTTTTTACACACATGATGACATTTAGTATTAATATCTTAAAATCCAAACTGTGTATTTCCTCAAATACTGTATGATTTCATTTACATGTGGAATCTAAAAGAAAAGAATGAGACACACTGGTAATTGCTAGTGGGGTAGGGAGTTGGGCAAAATGGGTGAAGGAAGTCAAAAGGCACAAACTTCAAGTTACAAAATAAATAAGTCATGAGGATCTAATATACAACATGGTGACTATAGTTAGTAATATTATATTTCATGTTTGAAAATTAATTAAGAGTGTAAACCTTAAAAGTTCCCCTCACAAAAAAAAGAAAATTTTGTAGCTATGTATGGTGACAAATGTTAACTAGACTTACCATGGTGATCATTTCACAGTACATACAAATGTCACATTACATTGTACACCTGAGACTAATATAATGTTGTATGTCAATTAGACCTCCATAAATAATATTGAACAAGAACAAAATGTATGCTTCATAACTGTGATGTATTTTAAGCTTCAAAACAATATGCTTTCTTATCTGTGAATTAAAAGGAAAAAAGTGATTATTCCCTTTTTATCCAAACTTACACTCAGAAAAGAACATTCCACTTCCACAATCTAAAAGTCACAAAATAAGAGAAACTACTACAAGTCATTTGCAGCTACCACCCACTCTTCTTTTATTATAGAAATAACCCTGTTGGTCTTAAACTTTCATGTGTCAGTGTAGGGAAAATCCTAGACCATACTTGAAGCTAGGTGAATGTATACTGTGGGTGCAGTCTACCCACAATGACACTGAGGGCTTTAATTTAGAGCTTTAGAAAGAGACAAGCATTAGGTGGTGGTTACACAGTTTAAACCTGAATGAGGGTTTTAAATGTATTAGCACACCATGTATATTGAAGAGTAAGTTCCAAGTCCATCTTTCACTAACATCTTTGACTATATGTATATGTGTGTATATATATATACATCAGTATATATAAATATAAATATTCATATATATGAATATATATAAATTCCATACCAAAATCAATTTTATTCTCATATGCACATGATTACTCCCACGTTATGCCAAGAGGCCCTTTTCCAAAGCCTGTGGGAGAGCTCTGACTTCCAGGAGACCTTACCCAAATGCCACGCATCCAAAAGATGAAATCTCAAACAGGAAACAAGCCCCAGGTGGAAGAAAGACAGAATGAGATAAGGGAGAGGCAAGGCTTACAAAAATCTTGCCAAATGAATGAAGAGAAACCCAGTCTGGTAGTTGACTGGTCAGGAAGCATTTTCCCTAGTTGTGGTGGAAACCACCAGGAACCGGGGTGATGCTTAAGGGATCGATCGTTTTCCGGTCGCGCTTTCTGAAGCGCAGAAACTCTGGGGTCCTCCATCTATCTGTACTTTGCCGAAAGATCCACTGAAAAATCTGCCTGCCTACCTGGAAACTTCATGCTTCTTGGGATTTCGGGACTGTCTGAATCTAGAAGGTTTTTATTTTCACTTGAGGATAAACTGTGCATTTCCTTTACTGTGGGGGGGAAAGTTAATCTTTCGCTGAAGAGCAGTGCACTACCATCGCGCGGGTCTACAATCATATTGAGTCCTCCCCTTCTTCTTCCGTCAACAGTTCGGTGCAGCTTTCGGAGAAAATGAGGAAAAGCATCCATCAAAACGCAAAGACGCGCAGCGGAACTTTGCCTCCGCTGTCAGGGAAAAGAAGGGGAAAAAAAAAAAGTCACTTCTGCTTCTCACGGCCAAGAGCTGAGTGTGGGAACCTCCGGACGAGGAAGGAAGGTTTGGTAATGAACGACGTAGGAGAAAACAATGCTGAGCCTGCGATGCCTCCGGACAGCGCACATCCTGCGGGGGTCCCCAACCCACGCACCATACACACCCCTGCTCCCGGGCGCCGTGGCTCCACTTACCTTGATGATGCTGCTGCGCCGGGGGGTCGCCCGCGCCGCCTCCAGGAGACTAGCCTCGCTGTCCGCCGGGGCCCCTGCAGCGACCGGCAATACGACCCCGCTGCGACGGTCCCTGGACCGGCCCCCAGGCGCCGCCGCCACGCCGTCCCCGGAGGCTCCGTCCAGGCCCACTCGGGGGTCGTCTTCGCCTCCGGCTGCGTCGAGCATCGCGGGACCCTCCCTGCCAGCCGCGCCCTCGGCCATGGCGGGGTGCGTTTCGGGCTCTCGGGGAGGAGACTGCACGCCCAGCCGCGGAGTCCAGCCGCCGGGCACGGTTACACTCAGGCACCGAGAGGCGGCCCCGCCAGACTTGGTTTCACCGCCCGCCGGCGGCGGTGGCTGCAACTTTCTGGAGAGGAGGCATCGCTCGGGTAGAGACGTCCGCAGGCTTCAGTCCAGGAGGCCGGCGGTCCGCTGGGGGACGGCGGCGGGTGTGGGGAGAAGAGTGAAGCGGAGGGAGAAGGAGAGGCGAAAAGGAGAGGGAGGTGTCCGAAATGGGATGCAAACGGCCGTTCTGCGCCAGACAAAAGGGACTAGGCGTCTGGCTGGGCGGCCTCCGAAGCCGAGACGCGCGCGGCCTGAGAGGGGCCGGAGCCGGGCGACCGCGGCCCCGCGCACCCGCCACCTGCCCGCGGACAGCGACGCCGCGACCTCAGGAAGTGCGGTGGCCTCCAGCGCGCTCTGTTGTGACAGGGAGGGAAGACTTGTTTTGACAGCCGCGGGGATTGGCAGGCGTCTGAGCCTCTTAGGGTTCTCGCCTCGCCGAGAGAGGTCGGCCCGACCAATCCCCACTGCGGAGGGGTGTGCCCGAGCGCGAAGAATGGAATGTGTTCTGTGACCGGGAGCCGAAACAGCGGGGCTCGTGTACTCCAGCGGCCGTGCGAGCACGCGCGCGAGTTTGCGCACCCGTCGGCGCTCCGTGGGTATTTAGGAAGTTTAGATACTCGAAATGAGCCTGAAAATGCAACAAAACTGCGGGATAGAAAAGGAAGGGGGCCTGGGGAGGAAACCCTTTCATGCAAAGCAAAGTAATTTGAAGGAAAGGGAGCGTTGAGTATTAATGTCAAAACGTTTGTAATGACCGAGCGTAGCTTCGCACCATCAGGGATTCATTGCAGGCTCTCATGCCAACCCTTAGAAGTCCAGGGTTACTGGGGCCCTGAAGCTAGATAATTTGCTTAAGGTTTAAGAAGAGATTTTCAGCTCATTCTGCAATGCAAACGAATACGGCAAGTAAAGGGAATCAGATAAAAGAGGGAAGGATAATAGGAACCTGAACTAACTCAATCCCTATGGAGAGTGACTTTTAACAAAGCACAATTATGATGAATGTTGGATAAATACAAGGAGAGGTGGGGGATTTAGTCTCCATCCTAAAACATCCCTATTTGATCATGGTTCGACCTCCTTTCTCTAGGTGATCCTGTGTAAACATACTTTGATCATTTCCAGCAAGCTAGCAACCAAAAGGAAAGAGATCTTTGGATGATGCATTAAGTAACTGAAATTAACCACAGCATGCTCAGGTAAATGCAAATGATGACTCTGAGATTTCCCTGGTAGAACAGAAGACTTGACATTTTAATTTAAAGGCTTTTTATTATTAGAATCTATATTAAAACTGACTTATAATATTAAATTATAGTTTAATTATTAATAATATAATACTTTGAGACGTTACTTGTTCCACTGTCTGGCTAAAAATATGAGTTCTTCAGCCTTTTAGACCCAGAATTTGTTAGAATCTCAGAATTTTAGAGTTGCAAGGAGATTTAAGGATCATCTTGGTCAGCCTTTTTATTTTGCAGGTAAGATAAAGGCCTAGGGAGGCTTAGTTTCTTGTCTACTAGTTAGTGCAGGAACTGAAATTAGAATCTGCCACCCAGCTCCTCCAGTAATCTCACTATTCTATCTGGCTCCTCTGGGGCTACAACCAGCCAGAACTGGATGAGGCCCTTGGCAGTTTTCAGACTTGACATTTATCATCTTTTAGAGAAGACTGGGGAAGCTTAAGTTTACCCTTTACAAAACAATAAAAAATGCAAATAAAAAAGTACTGTACAAATGCAGTAATGGATGCACTGTAGATTAGCAACCTCTGGTTTTAAAAACCAACACCACCCTCTAGTGAGATTCTGAGAACTACATCCATTTGGCAAATGCTTTTTTCTTTCCGATAGGTAAAAGACTGGAGGGGAAACTCAGTTAAAAGTTCCCTTTTCAGCCATCCGCCTTTATAACCCATAGACTAGAGGAAGGAATTGAAAAGGCATGCAAACTTAAAACAACCACACATGCCCTTCATCTCCATCAGTTCAGGGAATTCTCATCTGTCTTCTATAGGAAATGTTTTCAGCTGCTATCTTCACATAACATAACTTAGGTTATCATTTATTCTTTGATTCAACTATTTCTATGGTTTACTTCTGGTTTCTACAGTTCATTTCAGTGCTTCATATCTCTTTGTTACCCTAATCAAAATTCCATTACTTGGTTATCTGAGGAATACAAAACTGCAGCTATCTCACTCATTATCCTCTTCTATGATAATAGCATGATTTAAAGGATTTCCCATTCTAAAGGTTTGTAGAGCTTTCTGATAATAATTTGTTTTTAAAGTATTAAAATTACTATCATTTTACTAACATTTAAAGTCAGTGATCTTTTTAAATTAAATTTATTGGGGTGACACTGGTTAATAAGATTACACAGGTTTCAAGGGTACATTTCTATGACACATAATCTGTATATTCCATTGTGTGCCCAGTATCCAAAGTCAAATCATCTTCCATCATCATATATTGGCCCCCTTTACCCTTTACTACCCCTCCACCCCCTTCCCCCTAGCAACCACTACACTGTTGTCTATGTCTGAGTTTCAGTTTTACAACCCACATATAAGTGAAATCATAGGGTTCTTAGTTTTTGCTGACTTACTTCGTTTAGCATAATATTCTCAAGGTCCACCCACGTTGTCACAAATGGCAGTATTTCACCTTTTCTCATGGCTGAGTAGTATTCCATTGCATACAACAGGTACCACAGCTTCTTTATCCAATCGTCTACAAAGGACACATTGGTTGTTTCCATGTCTTGGCAACCATGAATAATGCTGTAATGAACATAGGGATGCATCTATCTTTGCAAATAAATGTTTTCAAATTTTTCAGGCAGATACCAGAAGAAGGATTGCTTGGTCATATGGTAATTCTTAATTTTTTGAGGAACCTCCATACTGTTTTCCATAGTGGCTGCACCAGCTTCCCTTTCCACCAGCAGTAAAATGAGGGTTACATTTTCTCCTCAACCTCTCCAACACTTTTTATTACTTTACTTGTTGATAGTAACCATTCTAACAGGTATAAAGGGGTATCTCATTATAGTTTTGATTTGCATTTCCCTAATAGCTAGTGAAGTTGAGCATCTTTTCATATATAGGTTGTCCATTTGTATGTCTTCTTAGGGGAAGTGTCTGTTCAGGTTCTCTGCCCATTTTTTAATTGGATTGTTTGTTTGGTGTTGAGCTGTATGCATTCTTTATATATTTGGGATATTAACCTCTTGTTGGAGCTGTTGTTTGCAAATATCTTCTCCCATTCAGTTGGTTGCCTTTGGTTGCCTTTTTCTTTTACTGTGCAGAAGTTTTTCAGTTTGATATAGCCCCGTTTGTTTATTTTTGCCTTCACTTCTCTTGCCTTTGGGATCAAATTCATAAAATGATCTCTAAGGCCAAGGTCCATAAATTTAGTACCTATGTTTTCTTCTATGTAACTTATTGTTTCAGATCTAATATTAGGTCTTTGATCCACCTTGAGTTAATTTTTGTATATAGGAACAAACTGTAGTCTAGTTTCATACTTTTGCATGTGGCTTTCCAAATTTCCCAGAACCATTTATTGAAGAGGCTTTCTTTTCTCCATTATATGTTCTGGCTCCTTTGTCCAAAATTATTTGCCCATATACATGTGGTTTTATTACTGGGCTCTCAGTTCTGTTCCAGCTAGATGATATCCATTTGGACTCCTCTCTTTTCTCTTTCCTCCCTTAGAAGCCTTCTCTCTCGCCCTCATGGGAGGACACACACACACACACACACACACACACACACACACCCCCCACTCTGAGTGTCTGTTCATAAAGGCTGTTGTTTAATTCATTTCGCTTTGAGAAGATAGTTGGACCCTGATCTATCAAGTCTTTCATACTGTTGCCTTCTAGCATAAACTCAGGAAACTTCTTCTGATACTCATATTTGCAGCTTAAAAAAAACACCCTCCATTGAAACTGCTGCTCCTTGGGCATAAATTTTACTCTGTGGCCCCACTCCCAAGATTGAGAGAAAGGTTAGCCGGATTTAGACATGGGCACATTCCTACCCCTCTATTAACAACCCCTCTTTCCAAATTACTATTACCCACAATTCCTGCCTCCTAACCTTTCACCAAGTAACATGCTGCCATCTCTTGGTTGGCAAATTGAAAGTGGAGGGGAGTAGGGGAGGGGAGAAGGGATGTGAATAAAAGTAATGAATTAGTAATTCAAATGTCACCACCTCAGAGAGGTCTCCTCTGACCACAAATCTCAAATTGCCCCTTCAACCTCACACACATACCATGGTATTCATACTGTTCTGTTTTGTTTTCTCATAGGATTTTATCACTGTGAATAAACTATCCTGTTCACGGGATTGTTTACTTATTCATTCTGTCATACTAACCTCCTATTTCTGCCCCACTAAAATGTAGAATGTAATCTCCATGTGCATAAAAACCTTGTCTATTTTGTTAGTTCCTATACCCGCAGCTCCCAGAACCATGCCTGGCCCAGAGTAGTGCTAAATATTTGCAGACAGACTCCAGGTTTCCCATCCTCTGACTGAGTGAAACAACCATTTCTAATGAAAAATGGCTCTGTCACTGCCCACACATTAGGACTTCACATCTTCAAGGATCTTAGAATTCCCTCTTAGGACAGAAATCAGAACAGACCCAAAACAATCAATTACAAAGTTAAGATGAGTATAGCTGTACATTGGAATAATTTGAAATCTAGAATTAGGCTAAAAGACATCTAATAGGAACCTGGCTAGGTCTAGCTAACCTGAAAACAGCTACCCTAAGATCAAAGACCAGCTATGTCAATGTAGTCCTTTCAGTCCAGTGAAGTCATTCCAGAACCCTGGGCTTAAGAAAAATCCAATGAGAATATTAAGACTTCCCATACACAACCAGGAAATTACAGTTGTGGCAGAGAACTGTTATTCTGATAACAACTTTCTATGTACCAGATAATCCTCTGTAAAATATTCTGATCTCCACTTCACAAAAAGTGAAATTAAATATCAAAAAGGTCAATTAGCTTGCTCAAAG